CCCCAAAACCCCAAAACCCCAAAACCCCAATTTTTGTAAATAAGCTTGATTTCTCATATATTAGTTCGCTTGTACTTACCGCATTCCTACTTCAAAAACCTCCTTGAATACTCCTTTCTTCTAAACTCTCTATTCAAAATTACCCTGCACCCAAACTCCCTTAAACCCTAGTTCTTACCTAACTTTAGCCTTCTTCCACACCTCTACTTGTCACCACTCTGAAGTACCCTTCCAGTGGTCACTGGAAGGGTACTTCTCTTCGGTGACTGACTGAGAGAGGGAAGGAGTCTGAAGGAGATTTGTGAAGGACTGTAGGTGAGAGAGGGGGTTACGTTGGAGAGAGGGGGTGGGAGGGGGTGGTATGGGTGGCTGGAGGGGTTTGGAAGGGGGATTGAAGGGAGTAGAGGGATTTTTTGGTAGGAAGAGAAGGTGTCGGGGGCGTCTGCGGAGGTGGTGGGAGGGGGGTGGAGAGAGGGCGGCTTGGAGTGGGGTGGGTGGCTGATTGAGTTTGAGCATGATTTTGAGATCCTGTCGATCATAATGAGTCTATTTTTCGATTTCCTGAAATTTTATGTTAGGGTAAAAAATTTTTTACTCTTCTTTGTTTTCTGCTTAAGTTTGTTTTGCGACTCTTTTTGTCTCATTTGGTCTCTAAAATACTAGTTTTTCTAACGACTTCAAATGAATTATTCTCTTGTAATTTGTTCTCAATGATCTTCCCTTTTAATAAATAATCTTTAAGTTTATTCAAAAGGGATAGCATATCTGGCTGTGTCATTGTTTGCTTGTTATTTATGCTTGAATTTAGGCTTGACAGAAGAAACTTTCAAAATAGACGCTTGGAATCTGAATTTAAAATAAAAAATTACCTTTTTACAGTTCTATTTTTGCTAAAGCTCATGATTTTTGAGTAATTTTGATTTATCTCCTTCAAGATTTTGCATTTGAGTTTCTTTGTTTTCATCTTTTGTTCTGAATTTTGAATGGATTTAGTCAAATTAAAAACATCATTTGGTTTGAAATTCAACTAAGAGTGAGAGAAGAAGTACTTTATTTATGGTTTTTAAAACGGTTTTGATGCTCGTTATATTTTAGGGACATAATTTTATCGTCTGGAGTTTCATCTCTAATTAAAGAGCAGAGGGAATAATATTCTTGTAAATGCTCCTCGCCAATTTCTATTGGATAGCAAGTAATTTACCTTCTAAGGCTTGAAAGCCTTTAGAATATGAAAATGGAGTTTCATTTTCAAGTCCTTCAACTGAGTCATATTGAACAGATTGTTGGATCAATTTAGGTAAGGAATCTGATGATCTTAATCGATCTGCTCTTACGGGTCTGAGAAGATTATTATATCCTATATCTGTCTCTGTTCCTACTTCACTAACCTTAGGCTCTAAAAGGTTAAATATTCAGTACTTTCAGTCATAATAGTAACTTCATCAGTTAGAAGTTTTGACTTTTCATGTTCAGAATCGACCTTCTGGTCATGCCTACAAAGTAAGGTTTTGAACTTTACATTGTTTCTAATTTGGCCAAATCGGTCTCATTTGTATTAAGCATTTTCTACTTTGAGGAGTTATCCTACCTGAAGAGCTCTTATTTTAATGTTCTTCTTGATTTCTACCTCCCGGTCAGATTCCTTCTTAAGTTTCAATTTTAGCCTGAAATTAGAGGAAATTTACTTTTCTGAGATAGCCAGGATATTCAATTTCTTGGCAGAAGGGTTGTTCTTCCTTGACTTTTGGAATTCACTAGAGTGTTTATTAAATCGTACATCATTTCTTTGTTGGCTTTAGCCAGTTCTTTTATAGCAGCCTTGATCTGCTTATTTCCTACAGAATTCTATTAGAACAAAGAAAGGGAATAATAAGATTAGATCAATTTGTACCTTAGGACATCAGCTTTGGCTAGAACTATATTTTTCTTATTTTAATTCCTTCAGATCTTTCTTGGTTGCATAATTATTCTGAAGATTTTGATTGATGTTGTATCTACCTGAAAATAATGATTTAAGTCCTTCAATACAAATAGTACTTTTAGATGTGATATTTGCATGAATTTTAGATGTAAATTTATCTCCTGGCTGAGACTTTGATCTGCTTATGTTCATTATATTATAAATTCAATAATGATGTTATATTTAGGGGTTTTGGGGTTTTGGGGTTTTGGGG